CCCCCCCCCGGCCCCGATTTGCTCCCCTGCCCCTTCCCTAGCCCCGGAGGAGCAGAGAGCAGTAGCGTAGCTAGGGGGGTTCAGAGGAGCGAAGGGGCCGCCTGCTCGGCCATCGCGCCCCATGCGGCCCCAACATCGCCGCCGCGGCCGCCTCCTGCGGCAGCTCAGGGCTCGGCGGCCGAGCGCTCCACAGCTGGCGGGCAGATCCCCTCTCCCCGGCAGCTCCCTGCTTCCGGGCCGAGGGAAGCAGGAAGCTGCCGGGGAGAGGGGATCTCGCCAGCTGCTGCCCGCCCCACTGCTCCACTCCCCCCAGCCCCCAGGAGAAGCAAGCAGCGCCCGCCCACCGCCCGCCCCTCCAAGGGGAGGTGCAGGTGGCCGGAGGAGCCGGGGGCGCGGAGCGGCTGGAGGAGGAGCCAAGGGGCGTGGCCGGAGGAGCCTGGGGGGGCGCGGAGCGGCTGGAGGAGGAGCCAAGGGGGGCGTGGCCGGAGGAGCCTGGGGGGGGTGCGGAGCGGCTGGAGGAGGAACCAAGGGGGCGTGGCCAGAGGAGGAGCCGGGGGGCGCGGAGCGGCTGGAGGAGGAGCCAAGGGGGGCGTGGCCAGAGGAGGAGTCGGAGGGGGGCGTGGAGCGGCTGGAGGAGGAACCAAGGGGGCGTGGCCAGAGGAGGAGCCAATGGGGGGCGTGGCCGGAGGAGCCTGGGGGGGGCGCGGAGCGGCTGGAGGAGGAACCAAGGGGGGCGTGGCCAGAGGAGGAGCCGGGGGGGCACCTTTTTTATGGTTGCTCCCCCTGCACTCAGAAGCTGGCTATGCCACTGGCAGAGAGTCCCTGTCTTTCCCCTGCAGCAACTGCTGCCGCAGGGTCCTAGTGCCCCCCACTTCCACTGCCAGGGCAGAGTGACTCTGAGCCTGCCCTTCCCCCTCCGACCCTTCCCTTTTCCAATAAAAAGAACAGGAGTACTTGTGGCATCTTAGAGACTAACACATTTGTTAGAGCATAAGCTTTCGTGGACTACAGCCCACGATATGCATCCGAGGAAGTGGGCTGTAGTCCACGAAAGCTTATGCTCTAATAAATGTTAGTCTCTAAGGTGCCACAAGTTCTCCTGTTCTTTTTGCGGATACAGACTAACATGGCTGCTACTCTGAAACCGTTCATTTTCCAATGGGACCCTCCAGCAGCACAGGGGCCGCCCCCCACCCGCAGTCACCGCTCCTGCCCCATGCTGGGCAGCCCCATCCCTCACCCCCGGTGAAGCTACAGTCAGGGGCGGGCAACAGCAGGGGAGGAGGCGCACGCAGCGCCCCCCGGCACTAGGGTGACCAGATGTCGC